CCCAGTGCGGGGCAGGTTCCAAGCACAGCGTAGTCCACCGTAGCGTCGCGCGCAGTGCCACAGCAGTCCCAGTCCCCACAAGGTCACCACGCATCCACCACACGGGGTGGCGCACTTTTGTGGGTTTTTTCAGGCGTTTGTGCACCACCATGGGTCCCCCGGGCAGTGCCCATTCATTTACCAAGTCGTGCCGCACCCACCAGCCAGCATCACTATCGGTTCACTGCCAGGGGGCTTCACATCGGCAGCCACATGTGGTCCGCCAATTTCAACCTGTTCCCAGTCATTACAGTTCATAGTCATGACATTCGCAAACCAGTCATCCGCCCTGGGGCCAATTCATCAGCAGCAATTTCGGTGGTGATGCCTTGGCAAATGCGTGCCGAGCCAATATGGGAGGTGCTTGCACACAGATCTTCAGTTACCAATTCCGCCTTCCCCAATGACGTGGAGAGTCTTAGCATATCAACCATCGTCGTTGGGTATTTCACATATGTCTGTGGTCTTTCATTTTTGACCTTGTCAGGCCAGAACTTGAAGGTTCGTTACAATAACACAGACCAGGCGGAGTCGTGGACTTATTTGGAGCCGGCAGGGCTGACAGGCTTGAATGTTGCGGTTGGAGAGAGCGGTATTCATGCACTGCAGTGTGTTAACCCAACAGGGCCGGTGGGTGATTGGCTTGGTCAACACCACAGGATTGCAAAGACGAAGCGGATAGGGGGGGCAAATGCAATTTCGGCACGGAAAGTTGGTTTCGATGTAAATGGGATCCCCTCAACAGCGAAGACTTGTTGGATGATTGGCTGACTGTAGTTTTGCAGGGATTTAGACTTGTCAGCATAGGTGCTGTCGTAGAGAATGGCCAATCACAGGATGATGAGGGGCTAAACAGACTTTCAGATAAGAACCTCCGCTGTGTGGTTTCCTGACATGCCTCCCACCCATGTCAACATGAAAGTGGGTTTCTTCCCCCATGGGGCATCGTTTACCCATGGTTGTAAGCCTCTTCTCTGGAATCATTATTGGTGGGGCCGGGGGATCTTACTTGGCAAATCTGACCAAGATATCATTTGATGGCGAAAGATTCAATTTTGGGTACGACAGAGAGGATGTTCCGGCAGAGTCAAGGCTGTTTGGTCGACCAGTGCTACCAGCCAACAGTGAAGCTGAAGAGGAGAGGGGAGTTAATAAAACCGGCGATACCGGCATCGATGAAGAGAGGCCGCAACGAGGTCCCCATACACCTGACAGGCAGACGGAGGAGGAATGCGACGAGGAAAGCGACGAGGAGATTGATGGATACGACCCAATGGGGGTTGATGAGTTTGACGAACCTGAAGACGAAGACGAAGACAAGCAAGACATCAAAACCTTTGACATCGATGGCCCAAGGGGAGAGCGCATTACTGAGGTCAAGGTGAGCCCGCACTGCACTCTGTTTGCTAGGAGAAGGGGGCACGGAATATATGATGGTCGCGTGGGTTATATCAAGGTACGTCAACCTTGCACATGAATAACGCTCGATCCCAACGCTACGAGGAGTCTACACAATGCACACTGTAAAGCTAACATGCCACTCATAGCTTGTCACGAACCATGGACGGTCAGAATCATTTGTGATGGAAAGATATATTGGCCGGAATTGGGTTGACAAGAAGAGATCTTTTTCGGCAGAGCCTGGCACTGCTATCACTGGGTCTTATGGCGCCCTCGATTCCATCATACCGGTTGCAATTGGGGTTATCACTGAGACTGTTAATATTTAACTGGGTACCTAATAACGAACCCCTATCCAGAGCCTCTGAAGGGATACTGGTTGAAGGCACTTCTGAACAATCCTGGTTCGGTACAGCTAAACAGTGTACGACAAATGGCTTGTCTCAATCACAACAGTCTAGATACCAACGATTATAACTTATATTATATATTGCGGAACTCTCTATCTATACCAGCTAGTTCCTCCGTATATATAGATCTAGGGACCGTAGATCGTTAACTTACAGATTGTCCTGGGTCCTCTCCTTATTGGCCAATACTGGACCGTGGGCCGTAA